TCCATCTATGCATAATATCTTTGCTATTTTTAGAGATATAAAATATTATATAATAAATATAAAGAGTCAAAAGTTTTGAGCAGTCTTTAGTTTCATGAATATTTTTAATTTTCGAAACTTTCTTCTTTGAAGGCCTGTTTATTCAAAATTTACATAGCTGTAAGAAGAAAGTTTTTAAAATTAAATTAAGAATAAAGTACAAAATATTTTATAAGTTAGATTGATTTTTCGGTATTTCTATTAGATTAAATATATTTATTTGTTTTAATATGTAATTTACGTGAAAAAATTATGAAATTCCCTTTTTCTATAAAAATTTAATAAGAAAATGAGTCGTTCGTAAATTTTTATACAAGTAAGAGGTTTTATGACATAATGTCAGATACGTTTCATATTTCCGGTTTTATTTAATACTCATTTATATTTGCATATGTATTATTATTTTCATACATTTATAGATTCTTTATTTGAGAAAATAATTTATTAGAAAGATAAACAATAAAATATTACATTTTATTATGGTACATTTATTGCTGGTGACATTTTATACATTTCAATAACGGTACTTTATACAAAACTTTACAAAGGTTCTTAATTCTAATTAACGACATGTTATTCAATCCAAATTCGTAATCTTAATTATAACTTAATCGTTATTATTAACTTACGAAAAAAGATTCATCGACAAAATAATATTCTTTGGCTCCGGATATGAATATCAATTGTTATAAAAGGAACAAAACTGTACAGCACACAACAATCATAAACGCATACTATGTACAAAATAATTTCACTCTTTTTACACAGAATAATTATATCTTTTTCCAGGCGCGACTTCTCAACATTTTTCTCGAGGTTTAGGACATTTTTTTTTATAAAACAGTTCATCAACGAAATTATATATTAAATTTTGAATTCTTTTATAATTCTGCGAAACAATCGAAAATAATTGAAAGATGCATCGTTAAATCGCGGACCATACTTTTTTTCCGACGCGACGGTAAATAATAATGTCACGCGCAAAAAGAAACGATCGTTTCGAGCAATATTTTGTGAAATATCACGGATATGTTTTGACAGTGATGTCTCCGGTGTATTTTATTGCATTTGGTTGGTCGGTGATTCTTGCTTCAATTCAAGGGCCCACATGTGCTGCGGCCAACCCGTCCGTCCTTTGCTCTTCGTCGGTTCTTCATGGCTGAGATTTGAGGCAGATTGCAAACACGATTCATTCTGTGAAGAAATAAAAGTACTCGATGACATATGTCCCCATCAAAAATTAATCTTGTCCGTGTAACTAATGTAACTCTAAAATCTGGAATGCTTTTTTTCATTTCGTTCTTTAATTTAATAGCCGTAAAACCTTCAGATATGGAGAATTGTCTGACAAATTTATTTAAGAGACGAAAAGTATGGGCCACGAGTAAGAATTATCAGATTTTTTTATTGAAGAGGGAAAATTCTACGTGGGCGGTAATCCCACGATCGCAGAAAATGAAGAAAGCCACAAAATACGGGTTTAAGGAAAATAAATTGTTTCCGAACTTTAGAATTAGAAGAGAATTAGAAAATTGACTCAAATTTTCTTTGTTTTCCTGTAATAATACTTTCTAGTTCTCTAAAGACAATGACCTAGCTTTCAACGGAAACTCTAAGACCCATTATTAGAATAAAACTGAATCCGAATAATGTTTTAATGTTTTATACAAAGAATTTTTGAAGTAAAGTAATCACTGTAACCAGTTGTATTTGTAAGATCATTAATTGCAACAACTTTTCATGATTTGTTTGGCTGAATCGTTTCTTAATGTTTTGTGTTTGCCATATCAATTAACTTGTTAAGCTAAAGCAAATTTCAACAAAATTATTTTTTCGTGATCTTTAATTTTATCAAGGTTTATATGAAATACAGTAAGATTATATGATATTGATACTTTTTAACCGTGATTTAATTCGCGATGACTTTAAAGATCGAATTCTCAAGCCGATGTACGAATGTAATTATAGAGTGAATGTTTATGTTGAAGTGCGATGCTTATAAAACCGTTTTGAGTGATTTAAGAAAATCTGTCTACAAGACACGAAATAATTTATCCTGAAGACCTTTCAAACTCGCGATCAAAAATCGTAAGCAACCTCGAGTAGCTCTCGAAATTCTTTAGAACTTTTCGGAAGAATAAAAAATCTCAAGAATGTATGAAAATGAACGAAGAACGAGAAGCAGAGATAAAGCGAAGATAGATAACAGAAATATGTTAGCATTGTCTTAGTATACGTTTCTAATAAGAACTGTTAATGTTAAAAGTTGCTATTAAGCGTAGAACTTTGCTTTTTATTTTGCTATTTTCATATAAAGTTATCAATTAATTTACGTGGCTATTATTTAAGAAATAATTGTCATCAATTTATGAACTTCATTTTTCATTCTTTAAAATGTAAACATTACGCGAAACCTTTCTTTTTTTATATTTATTCTGCTTTTTTAGATAGCAGAATAATCTCTCTCTCTCTCTCTCCCTCCCCCCCTCCCTCCCTCTCTGTAACCCTCATTTTTTGTTTTATCGTAAATAAATTATACAGATTATTCTATATATATCGTACCATTATATCAATAAGTATCATTAAATTACAGTTGCAATTGTATAATGTAATTGTATAATTAATAATAGTTTTCAATAGTAGTAGTATATTTATCAATTCCCTTAGAATTACAATTATTTTACATTACAACAATATATTAGACAAAGAAAAGAACTAAAAAAACATAAAATTTTAAACTATTCTAATTTAATTTATTCTATCTACTTTTTAAATTGTACACGGATACATATGCCCTATCTCATAATACATTATTAATTTAACCTGTTTGAACTTTTGTTTCTTTTACAATCTCATGTTTTATTTTCATATTTTTATTCATGGAAAGAACAATTTTTGATGAAATATCTAAAAATTTAGATAATGTTATAAATACAGATTTGAAAATAATTTTGTTGGACCGTTAAATTAATTATATAAGAAACTCAAGCATGATGAAATAATATTGCAAGAAGTTCTGACATTCTAGCAACCAGCTTGAGCATTCTACATAATTATGTTAAAAGTCCAACAAAATTATTTTTAAATTTGCATTTTAGCTAAATTATTAAACACTCGAGTAAAATCGTTCTCTCCATATACACATTCTCGCAACGCATCTTTTATCCCTCCTCTCTTACCTCTTACTTTCCTTCAATTAACCCTTTCCTGACACTACATAATAAATAATAATTACTAAATTAGTTATTTACTTGATTAGGTTGAGTCGCTTTATTCCTTCTACCACTCGAAAGGATCTCCGCGCGAAAGGTCTGAGGTTCTTCTCCTTCGTCACTTTCCAGTACTGCCATCAAATATCCAATGTAGGATGCGGCTAATCTTAAAGTTTTGATCTTTGATAATTTTGTATCCGAGGGCACGTTAGGAATGCATTCCCTGAGATCAGAAAAAGCATTATTGATGGATTGAGTTCTTCGTCTTTCCTTCTTGTTCGCAGTGTTTCGTCTCTTCGGCCTGGGTGCAACACCACTCTCGCGAATACCCTGATGAAGATGCTGAAGAGTACCGCCGACAACCTGCTGGCTTATCTGAGCGCTCACAAACTCATGCTCACGTCGATAACTAGGTTGATGTTGATGATGGTGATGGTGTGAATGATGGTGATGATGGTGCAGTGACGTTTCCTGTTGCCCTTGGAGGTATGATAAGTTAGTGTAATGCTGTCCGGCTGAAGGATGCACGTATTGCTGCAGAGGTGAGTAACTTGATTCTTGAACGCCAATCTCTTCAATAAGGGGTGGTGTTGATGCGGTAGGACTGCCGGCCCCTGAACTACCGCCCGAAATACCAGAATCCGCGCCCCCCCAGTATTGACTGTCATTATCGGGAACCGAGCCAAGAGGCCCTGTGTAAAAATTGGATGCATATTGCATTTTTATGTGATGCGTTGGTGAAATTGCATCTTAAATAATTCTTATGAAAATCGTTCGCGTAATAATATCCTATACATAGAGAAATGATTTTGCTGAAAGCTAGAAAAATTTAATTAGATACAGATCTGAAAATAATTTTGTTGATCATCGATATGATAAAATATAGTAAAAAATGTTTAAACTAGTTATTATAATGTCAAACCATTTTGCAGTATTACTCATCATGTTTGAAATTCCCACGTTATTATTTTAATGGTCCAACAAAATTATTTTCTAGATCTAGCTAAATTTTTAGATACTTTAACAAAATCGTTCTTTTTGTGTACGATTTTTTATAAAATTTTTTTTGTGAAATAATTTTTCGGAACTCGAAGTATAAATAATTCTCAGAAGTCTTTGAGTTCGAGGAATATAATAAAATATAAGGTTATTAAAAAAATATGTGATCTCTCTAGTTTACACAATATATTCTACGTGTTAAAGAATTTAGTAATATTTTTGCATAATTTAATATATTCTATAATATTTTTTTACATAAAATACGTGAAATTTAAATTTTCTTCTTTGAGATATTTTGCAATTGGATTTTCGTATTAATTTGATGAAGAAATAATACTATTATAGTAGCATAGCAATTTCAAATATAATAAATCTCTGCTTTTGTTTATAATAATTATATATATCTATGCTTGTTTTTCCTAATGTTTTTTGTCTAATATGTTATAAGTAAGCCGAAAATGATTTTAAAAAAAGTTTATTAACTATTTTCATAATAGTTTTTTAAAATGATATACTTATGCAAAATGTTAATGACAGATATTGAATTATTAAACAAATCATATGCGTAAGATACTTTTAAGATAAAAATACATAAAAACACTCTTATACAATGTTTATTCATAAACTTTTGCATTTTGAAATTAATTATTCTTTTAATGCTATTACATTTGCATGTATTATGCTGTTTGATAGTGTTACTGCTTTTTTTGTACGTCACCAGTTGGCTATAATGATAGGTGTTACTTGAACATGAATTAATAACGACGAATTAATGATAAAAAATGCAAAAATAATCTCCGCGTGTGTATGCAGACAGAAAAATCGAGTTTTATCTTAATGGAATTTTTCCATTCTTTAACTTACGTAAATAGATTATCTCATTAGGCACGTATATTATGCATAACAAATAATAAAATACGATGCAATGTATAGAATGATAAGCATTGATACTAAGAAAGTATGACATATTACAGCGAATCTAAAATTTAAATTTCTAAATTTAGCTCGCACGCAAAGTTAATGAAAATTTTGTAGTTTGAGAAATTCCTTACTCCTATATAAGACACGTTTCCTTACATTTCTACCTTATTAAATTTTTATATTTTACATTTAATTTTTCTATATTTATAAAACAAAATGGAAAAATTAGATGTATCTATTTAAATTTTCCTATTTTAGGAGTCATGCTTAAGAAAAGCTTGAAATTATTATTTATTAGTTTTGAGAAAAATCGTAAAAGAATACGCTTTATTTTTCTATTCAAATTGATTTCTTAGGTATAACTAATTTTGTTTAAAAAAATAAGAACGAATGTATGCACTCACCGTAGGGAAGTTGAGTGACATAATTATACGGTTGATGCCATTGCGGATAATACTCTGTTTGTGCCTCGTATCCGCTAAGCATGTTGTCCGATATTATCACCGTCAGATTCTTTTAATAATTTGTCACAACTTGTATTAACTTCACAAAACGTTCACCTCGAATTCTAAACTTAAACTCGTTGTCTCTCGATCAATTATTATATATTTTACTTTAAAGCTTAATTATTTTATTGTGGTGGGATTACTATATCTTGTTATATTTTTCAATCTTTGTGACTTGTCAACGAAAAGCTGTCGTCTAATTGTTATGTTTTATCATTTCTGTTCATTATATCTTCTTATATTTTTCAAGTATGAAGATCTCTCCAATTCGAACTTCATTTGAACGGGATGAAATGTACCGCTGCGATTCGATTATTTTGTATTATTTTACACAGATTATTTTATCTTTTGATGATGGTCTCTTGCACTTGGATCTCGTTCCAGAAAATTATCGTTAATGTATATGTCCTATTATTTCCTTTTGTTATCAATTTTTTCCTCTTTGCGGGACACCTCTTCTTCAATTTGCGTCCGAATATTATGTTGCGAGGCTTTCTGCGCAAATCCGACGATAAACTGAAGTCGCTATATTTGCGCTCGGTCTCGTTGTCGAAAAGCGCGATGCAGTTCCGGATGTGCAGTCAAAAGAATACTGAGAAAACGGAATTCGGTGCGGTACCGATCTGCTGCCCGCGGTTGTTTCGTCGCTGTCGGTGGTAGTAGCCGCGAGTCCGGGTGGGTGTACCCGTAGAGACCTGTCGTGATCCGACCCCGTCAAAACGGGCGGAGCTCGGTTTGGTCTACGCCCCTGAGAGGAACCCAGGATTCAATTAGTAAATTGAAGGAGCTCGCCGTCGACAAAGTGGCGAAGTGGGGTATGATTTAGGGTATGACGTTCCTCGGTAAAGGCATTCTCCCTCTGCCATCACCGCCCGCGCCGCCGACACGATTCGCGACGTATCGCCATCGTCGTCGTGCTCGTCTCTTTTTGCCAATCAACTCCAACGAACGCGAATGCTCCGACTGCCGGTTCTTCATGGTGTAATAATATTAGCCGCGAGATATCGGTGCGATATAGTGTGAAGCTGCGACGCAAATTAGACGACACTCGCGTGGTGCAAAGAAAAGAGAGGAAAATTCCCTCGAAAGAAAAAAAATGGAAAATATTGTCAGATATCCTTCTACTTCGTGGTGTGGACATCTTTTGAATTTAATATTTTTCGTAATTAAATGTTCTCTGGGAGAGCCTTGATGATTAAGAAAGAAAGAGAGAGAGGAGAGAGAGAGAGAGAGAGAGAGAGAATTTTTCCTACATCAAAAATGAAACATTTTTTATTGTAGTGACAACTATACAATTTTACAAATTTCATTCTACATACAATATACAGAATTAATGTACATAGCTGAATAAATTATTTTATAGTTATTGCAATTAAAGCTAAATGATTACGAGAATTAATTATTATCAGTAGTTATTCGGTTCTCTAGTGCAATAATTATATAAAATAGTTTATTCTATGTATATTAATTCGATATATACAACTTGTATTGGGTAAAGTTGTGGAAATCGTATCGGCTCCTAAAAAAATCACACTACTTCGCTTAAAAATTCAATTATTATATAATATTTACATATTTTCTTACTTAAGAACTATATGATACTACAACGCTGTTGCGTTACACTCGTGACATAAAACGCAATTAAGAGTGTTGTTATTTACATAAATAAAAAAATCGTGATCATGTTGCTTTTTAACGTATTTCATAGCAGAATTACAGAAAATATAAATTAAATAGCCTAATTCTTGATTATTTGTTGTGATTAGAATATTATTAAAATTAAATTAATAGAGTTAAAGTTTACTATACGTTTTTGTTTATAGATTAAATAAATAAAAATTTACGAAATGCTCTAGTTTCCTAAATCGCACCATAACTTAACCTTCTAAATAGCATGTTATCTAATATTTTTACATTTTTAATTTTATTTATTATTATTTAAAAATGTATGTTATAAACCAACGAAGTGTTTATTTTGTCTTAGAAACATAGAAACTCTTTAAATTACTTCCTGAAACTATACGTGTGTAATTAATAAACATTTTTTAATAATTTTTTATTTATATCTACTCTCCTTGAATTAACTTATATCCATTAATTTTGTATTCTTTTAGAACATTAGAATATAAACGTGCAATTTTTAATTTTTTTTTTTGAAAGGATAGACTTTCACGATATTCTGTTTTTATTTGCAGTGTTCTAAAAATTTTGATTAATATTGTTATGATGTTTTCATATCCATTTGTTCCTAATATGTAAATTTTGACAGGCGTTAAATATTATTTAATAATTACATCGGATCTTCGTGTAATAAGTAAAAAAAATGAAATGGTGTATCAACCTACTTTTATGATGATACGTTTCCTTCTCCAGATGACGGAGCGACACGAACAAACATATAATAGCTGCCAGTGTATATATCGACCCTTTGAGAAAAAATAGCTTCCCTTCGTTTTCTCGTGTTAAAAACGAAACACCGGCAACATCCGAGGTCAAAGGGACTTTGTCGGGAAAACGGTAGCGCGAAGAAGTCTCGCGGGACTTTCCTTCATCCCTTACAACCTGTTTGCATAAATAAGTCAACACTTGTTTCCTTTGCATTCCACTTTTTAACAACAAGACAAAATTGTATGGGCGATAGTTTACGATAATTAACTTTTTTTTATTTTTTAAATACATTCTTTAATAAAAAGAACACATAAAAATGAATCATTTGCTCTATCACATCACAATTTTAAGAAATTTACAGTTAAATAAGGGGCTATTTTAGCATTATAACCATGATATACTATACTGACATATTGAAAATCTTTTATTAAAATTAAGATTAATTTTTTGTCTGATGATAGCTGGGTAGCATTTATAGACTCGATGAATATTTGTTAGCTTTCAAAGATACTCGTTTATATCCTTTAATCGTACTATAAGAAATTAAATTCGAAAAAAACTATTGTTTTTTTATTGCTGTTTACAAATTATACGTAAAGTTTTTTTTTATTATTCATAAGATTTTAGAGTACGGTCAAAAGTGATCCAGATTTCGAAAGAGTCTTTTGAAGACAGTAACATTAAAAATGACTCGATAGGAGTCGAAACATTTGTTTTGTTAAATTAAATTTATCGTTAGAATATTCAATGTATAATAGTAAATAACGATAAATTTAATTATAAGTTGAATGATAAGTTGGACAGTTAAGATCCTGTGTTTTGCTCGTAACTTTTATCCTTTTATGTTTTAATTTTTAATTATTTGAGCCTCTTAATACTTTGGTTGAACATAAATAATGAACAATTATAGCAACTTTTCTTATTCTTGAAAAATTACAAGAGATACTGGCCCGTATTCTCAGAATGCGCTTTTATCAAGAAATGCGCACTTTTATTTCTGAAATTCTATAATGTATGTAATGTAAACACTATGCTGAATACACATTAACATTGTTATAAGTGCGTTTTGAATACGGACCATATGTTTCGCGTACCTATTTCATATTTGTATGATACGTATAAGATTGAATCAATTTATAACGAACGATTAGGAAAAGTGAATGCATTATCCGTGATAAGGACGAGCATGTCTGGTTTTATTTCCGAGAGAAACCAGATGCTAATAAATAGATGTGTAATAGCCACATAATTATTTCTACTTATCTAGTCGTAAGTTAGATTTGCCAAATTTATTAAATAGGGAATTATATGATAAATATTAATTGATCTTATAAACAATTTTTATAAAATTACACTCAACAATCTACGAATTTTCTTTCTCAAAATTGGTTGTCGTATCAATAATTTTATAAAAATAAAAAAAGGAAATAAGTGCAAATAAATTTTGTGATATACTCTCGTAATATCTAATATTACATAAAAATCTAATTTTAATTTTACGTTTTATTTATTTGATTTTGTTTGTATTCTAAATTGTTTGATACTAACTGTATTTAATATCAATCATGAAATAAGAAAAAACATTTAAACGGTATAGATGTCAATCTTTGTCTTATATGCTGTAAATCGCGCATTCAGTGTCAGCTAACAATAAGAAAGGGTTGTTACTGTTTTCCTCCGGCATTCTTCTGTAATCGATAATTCGTACTCTTTCATTTTTTTCAATCTCTCGTAGTAGATATCAGTGAAAGTGATTGGTCGAGTGGTCGGCTGCCAGTCCGTCGGCAACTGCAGCAGAAGCTTCTTGACAGAGCCAGTGGTAGTGGTTCACTGTCAAAGAGAAATGCCGCGATTAAAGAAGCACTTATAGGACGACTAATTTTTTTCTTTGATGCCAGGCGACAGTGATTGCCTTTCTCGTGAACCATTTTTACACAAGATAGATATCTTCAAGGAGCAATAATTATCTACCATTGTTGTGTCCGGATTAATTGTTTAGTACCGAAATTATAAAAGACATTTTTTATGTATCTTCATTGCGATAATAAATATATGTCTGATTCTGTGTTTCGAATAAATTCAAAGTACAATTATTTATTGTATAATAAAAGTATATATAATTATATATATATATTTTAACATATAAAAAGATCATAGCTGATTAACGGAAGAATGTCTTTGGCTGGAAAAAAACCAGAATTTATTAAATGAAAAGAAGACGATAAAGAACTAATAGGGGCATAGTAGTAATTATATAATATGCAAGTATGTGTACTAGTTATTGCATAATTTAGTTAAAGGATATATTTTTTAATTTATATATATGACATTATTCTATATAAATTTTACTTACATTTTAACAAAATTTTTTTACAAAATTTCAAGAAGAAAAAATTTCTTGTAACTTTCTTAGTACAAATACTTTTTGTGTAAGTCAATATATTTACTCTATTATGATATTTTATGAAATAAAATGTTATATTTAATCTAAGGCAACATTTAAAAGCTTCGTCGATCTTCAAATTTAATTATTATTAATGTAATTAGCAAAATCGAACGTAAGGATAATACCGATGTATCCCAAATTTTCTCCTACTCTTGTGAGTTTTGTTTAGCCAACAGGCAACTGTTTACCAAGGATTGGGCGGGAGTAGACCAACCAGAGGTCCTCTTGGTGCTATTATTCGACATGAGATGTGCGCAGGATTCGGTAGTTGGAAGGAAGGAAGAAGCGAGTAGCGGATAACATGCGATAATAAGGGTCTTCCTCACGTCTGGCAACTTCTCGCGATATCTATATTAAGTAATAATTATGATAGTGTATATATATATATATACCAGCATAGATAAGTACATGGAGATCTGGCACGTAGGGTGGATCGCTTCATCCTGCTCACTTCTTCCTCCCTCTTCGGTTCTTTCTTGATTTCCAGCGTTGTTCGTTTCTACTCTCTGTGATGTTTTAACATTTGCTTTGTTTTGTGACTTGTTTGTGATTGCTCGCTTTTGTGACAAATTTAGGCTGGATTGTTCCACCTTTCGATAAACTTCGACTCTCTCTTTAACTCTCTTATGCTCTTACTCTTTTGTTTATTCATATTAGATAAATTATTACATAATTTATTCGAAAGGATGGTACAGAAATATCATTCTTCTAGGAACCGAGATTAAAATTAATTTTATATTTATGCAAAATTGTCAGGTGTATTTCTGCCAATGTGATACT